GTCCCAGTCTTGGTAAGTGAATGGAAGAGTATAGACGTTCCAAAACCTGAGTTGTGTTTGCGTCATGTTTGCTCGGGAACAGAGTTCCAATACTGCAGTATTTATTATTACATGAAGGTCGGCTGGCAGTCCATTGAGTGTCGTGGTCATTAGTGGGAGTTGTATTGTCCGATACATTGATGTTTCTAAGCAAAATTCATGCTTATATAATGGTCAGATAAGGTTAATTGATTTTACAAACCTGAAATCATCCTCATTGCACTTAAAAGATTCTACGTGTTTAGGAGTTCACCACTAACCGAACTACTCTCGAATAAGCTGGAAGAATATTTTAGATATTTTTCCTTCGTTAAAGTAGCAGCATTAATGCCCTATGAATATTGATCACCCTTATTCTAGGGCATTAATGCCCTAGATCACCCTTATTCTAGGGTGATCACCCTTCTGATCACCCTATTCTACCTCGTCAAGACTTTTCTCTTGCCATATTTCTTTTCCAATAACTTTCTAGTGATGAAACTACTTGTTTTATGTTTGTATTTTAATTAATAGAATAGGGGTACATGTTTCTAGTTCTGCTGAAAACAATTAACGAGCCATATTATGACTCGCCAGCCAGTGTGTGTGTGGAATACGAGTAGTTTCTGGTAACTCGTAACATTGTTATAGCACTTTACTTAACAGAAAATTGACAATAAAGTCTAATTAATTCGTTAGTTCCGTTATCAACCACCGAAACCTGACAAAGAAAACTGAAAAATAATTAACCTACTCATAAGTAATTGTCTACACAAAGTATTCAGTTCGGGACAAAATTTCAACGTTTTTTCATAGAACACATAAATAAATACATTGATTTTATCTTCTACGATCTTTTTTATGAAATTTAATTTACTATTTTTTTCGTTTGTGTTCTAATATTTTCTCTTCATGATTATTCTACAGCTATTATATAGTTACATTTGTGAGCTTTATTATTCAGGTCTTTACAAACGACCACGAACTGGAATACAAAATTCTTCCTTCCAAATTATGAATATTTGAAATGAACGGTACATGAAATTTAGATCAGAATTCAACAATTTACCTATTCGTTTCTCAAAAGAGTTAAAGCTCTTGGTTTAACCATGGTCTAAGCTCATGGTTTAAACGTGGTCAAACATTGTGCAACCAGGGCCTAAGCATGCTTAGGCCCTGGTTGCAATTTTTTCAAACAAATTTTTCACGCAATTTTTTTTTCAAACTTCCCATGAGATTGACGAAATCTATTCGCATTGAATGATATTCCTTCACGACTTCCGACTTTGAGAGTCATAGGTGAGCAAGGTGCGAGCACGGTCTATGTATAGTGTATATTGAGTAAATAAGCTCGCATCGTTTGAGCGATGTCTGCGTAAACGTCGAGGGTCGACAGATGATCGTTGTTTACGCCCTGGACGCCTGACCGGCGCTCCCGTGGGCAGCATTGATCTTATCTCCGATGCCGAGACGCGTTATCTACCATGAAAAAACTTCCAGTTTTTTCATTGAAAATATTATAATGAGTATAGGCTGTAGTATATTTCATAGTAATCACAGCTCTCGTAATGTTTTTATTAATCATGTACGTTAGACCATTTACAATATTCTTCATTGGGAAAGAGTCCCTTGACCGGTCAGAGTTCCATATGTTGTTTACTGATAAGCTATTTTACGGATTGCACTCTGAAATCAATGAAATCTCTCCTGAAATGTTTACAAAATATTTTTAGGAATGATCTCTTCTTTGTAGGTGCACGTAAAGAATAATTATAAGAACTAAATAAAGGAATTGGTTAAAAGCGATCAAAGGTTAAGACTTTCAGTGATTCGTGGCTTCAGGTTTCCTGCTTTCATAGTTCGGCTATAAGGCTCTTGAATAGCCTCACTTTCTAATGATCTCTTGCATGGAAACTGCGATAATTTCAGTCGTTCACCGATACCATTAGGTTTTTGGTTTTTCAAAGCTTGCAAGGACTACATAAACTCGTCTGCAAAATATTCGACAGAATAGAAAAAACTTTGTGATGTCTACATGATAACATGCTTTTATGTATTCGTATTTTCCATATGGATCAAAATATTGACCACCTTTATTATTTCCACATAAAAGTGGACTTCTTTGCTAGAAACAACATCCTTTGGCAAAGCATAAATATCGTATATTCATAACACATGGCTGAAAAAGTTGTATCGGGAAGGCTTATGGTTAAGCCAATTTAGTACTTAACAGGGTGCATTTTAGAGAATGGAAAGTGTCAGCGATGATCACCATTTCGTTCAATTGTGATGCTCACCATTTCGTTCAGTTTTTTTAATTAGCATTTCTAGTCGGACATGGTTTATAATTTTTATAATCAAAGCCAACAGTTTTTTTTGTGGTTGCTTTGCTTGCCAACATTCCGCCTTTTTTGTAGGCTTTTGTTTACGACACTTGTTGCTGAGCCAAGGTTCTTCGATTTGGTTCTCGCTGCCCTTGGTTTCTTTCGGTTATGTTAAACACAATAATGTTTTGTTGCAAGTTGATAATTCTAATAAAATTACACTTATTATTCATAATACATCATCTTCAAATATTTTTGCAACTGTACCTGGCAATATAAATTTAGGTCATAGATTGACAACGACACTTTATCAAACTTAAGAAACTCTAAAGCTTCCAAAACTCAATGACTAACAAATGAGATGACTTTCATTTTATATGTCAGAGAAATAGACCAACTTGCACGCACTTCATGCGTTTACCACAAGTAAAAAATTGCTTAGCCCGTAACTTGGGAATGAGGAAGTCAGATGATGAATGGTCTCGATATTAAATTTTCATTTCAAATAAAATATTGCAGATCAAAACGAGTGACAGTCTAACAGATTTATTGGAGAAATGTTGAAGGGAACATTTTTCATAACGGAATTTTATTCATACAAAAGAAATCGTTTCCACACTGTGGATTCATTTATTTAGGGAAGTATTTTCCAGATGGAGTTTACCGATTCGCTACGTAAAAGACGAATGGACCCTGGGGGATTCTATATGGTAATTTTGTCACAGACTTCTCGAGCCCACGTTTGAATAGATATCTCTAGGCACTTGGGGTAGCCGTGCCTTTTATTTAGGAATGTGTGTGCGGCTCTCACAATATATTCAAAATTAAATTACAGAAAAATTGTGTGTGACATATATATTAATTCAATTATTTTCTAAGCTGAAGGAATGCTTAAAACAATCCGAATGTCTGGATGAAAGATAAGCGCCACCAACGCGTGAAGTGGAGATGAATTCGACCAAATACTCTACTCATATTTATCTGAACATCATATCAGTAATTGGATAATTTGGAGAGTCATATTTACAAACGCATAATATTATCATTATAATATCCAGTATCAGAACTAAAGTTCTCTGGTGCATCTATTTAAAATGGTCACTACACTTGAGCTCTCGCGTCATGCAGTGGCATCTGTGAGTCGTCATGGTCGTCCGACTGAGCAATTTTATGAGACTCTTACATTTCAGTAAATTATTATCATTCGCTAGAAGCATTGTGAAGAAGAAAGACCGTGGCAGGCGGCCAGAGCTTTCTGCATTGCCAACCATCGTGTCTAACATTAGCTAGAGCTCTCTGGCCCAGACAAGCTATGTTGTCCCGAGCACAATGCCCGCTCCTCTGCTGCATTACACTGGACGTTATTAAGAGTGTATCCAGTTATTTATAAGTGGTTAGGTATTTTCAAATCAGTTTGAGTATTAGAAGATCTTGATCTTTACGATTTTTCTTTCCACTAAGGTATTACACAATTTAACTTTAAACAAATAACCAGACCTTAAAGTTCAGTCTTCAGTATGCGAGTGCCGGGTTGCCATGAGACTCGTGCCCTGAGCTACGTGGGGGTTAAGAGATAACAGTTATTAATGCAAACGCACAATCAATGACTCTTAGGGGACACTGGAGTATATTGTCTTGCTTTATCTATCAGGAAAATTATGCGCTTGATAAAAAATATGTGTTCATATAAATAATTATTATTTTGGGCCAAAAATATATTCGATTGGAGTTGTTTATGAGTACGTAAATATGTAGGAGACAAATATTTTTAATATCACATTAAAACACTTAAAGTCATGCAATGAGAAATAAAGTCTGACTAGCAAAAGTAAAATATGGTTGCTACATGAATAGATAATATGCACAGCTAACATTTACTTAACATGCCCTCAATTAAATTTATTCGTGAGCTGGAATCCTCGTAAAATGACTCACAACAGTCGATAAAATAATCAATCCTACAGTACTCATGGGCTCTCAAGTCCTAGAAAATTAGTTTACATGATTTATATGTATTTAATTTCGTCAATAATACTATTCATTTATTTGCTATTATGGCTATTGCTATATTGCTATTTTATGCATCTGAAACTCAATAACCATAGCTGCCAAGTTTGAGAAGCTATGTTATGTTGGAAAAATTATCGAAATATCCCATTAGAATTTCATTGTGACGGTCATTCTTTTGATGCGAGTGATTTGGTGCCCTCTTAATGAATGATTTGATACACCCTCTCATAGCATGCTTGTAATATATTTTCTATTTTCTAAGAAACAATATGAACCACGTTGAACATGTATTAATCAAATTTTAAAGTAATTAATATCATTATTTGAAGTCTATGCAGGTTTGAGCCTATTGTTGTTTACTTGAAGTACAGATGTATGCGCTTACGGGGCTTTCTCAAGGTGAATATTATAATATAATAATAATAATAGCGGTTTCAGCGTTTATTAGGCCGTAGGCCTGTCGCCGATTCTTAACATCGCAATATATTCACAGCTTGTTACGGTCTCGAACGCGCAACTCACTGCTACAATTCTGCTTTTGCATAACCGCCCGGCCTCCTATGGATACAGCTGATGAAATTATTACTATAGTTTTGGCTGTTCTTATTTCGGTTACTGGAATCGTGGCTTAGTACAGTTCGTGCTCTAGTATGTGCGTGACGTAGATGTTGCTGTGTAAATGTAAGAAGGGAGATTGGTATTTAACTAAACGGTCTCGTTCTGCTTGTTCAATCATAACTATAGAAAATCAATGACGAAGAAATGGAATATATAATTTATCTAGAGTAGTTGTTTCATTATGCCAAAGTTCAACGATCTGGATAACACGTTAGCCGCTGGTTCTCGAAAAATCCGCAGAAATAATTACTGAAGCACTTCGTCTCTCAAGTCCTTTTCTTACCTCTGTGAGTAACTTAATTGAAAGCTTACTAGAATTTTTTATTCTTTTAAATTGTTCAACCAAAATACTATGTTGGTTTCGACTCTGCTATATGAAATTAATTTAAATCAATTTAATCAAATCTTATTTGAAGTCAAATGAACTTGTCCAACGTTGAAAATTTATCTGCTGCATCTTAAGATATTGAACTAGCTAGAAGTGTAAAGAGGTGTTCTTGTTATTTGTTAACTAAAATATACTTTTTGCTAAGACTCTTAGCTATTCTCATGTTTTACTTCTTTTAAATTTTTGGTCTGAGAGATTCTGACAATGCTTACAATCCTGACATTGCTCAATGCTCATCACTCATCAGTCATCACTAATCATCAGCCTCATCATGCTATGCTATTTACTAGCCTACTTGTCTACTTGACTACTTCTACTTGTGCCACAGCCAATTTGGAATTATGGAATATCATTCCTAACTTTATCAAAATTTCTGGTAAAAGAATAGTTTCAAGAATTAATTTCAAATTTGCTGTTAAAAATAACCTGTTTTTCTTAATTTTCTACTGAAGGAATGTAAAAGACCAATGACCATAGTGCATAGAAATGAAAGTTGAAAGTTATCAGCAGTGTTCCTCTTATTAATAGATGGCTTTGGGGTTTGGGCCTTTGGCCCAATTTTACAGTTATGTGTCTGCTAGCATGCAGGGCTGGAAAAATCCAATTTTTTTTCTTAAATATTGCGGTACCGTAAAATGGGGTAACTTAGACCGGCGGGGTAACTTAGACCACTTTTCATTTCTTTAACAAAAACCCCCACAACTCAAAAACTATTTGACATAGAAAAATTTTGTCAATGGGCATTAAAGGCCTAATACTGAGGCTACATAAAGTGGTCTAAGTTACCCCATTTTACGGTACTAATATTATATAATTTAAGTATGTATGAAATTTTGCGGGTCTAATGTCATAATTTTTGTTTGATTGAAAAAATTGTGGTTTCCACTTTGCAAACATGTCATTTTATGAAATTTCTTGAGACTTTTGTAAACACGTGCTGTGACGTGCATGAGACTTTATTAATAGGCAAACCCATATAGGGTAAATGCGGTAGATTCTGACACATTAAGGACATAGCAAGAAATGAATGGCTATAAAAATATCACCGTATGCGCAACTCGAGTTCTGACTGCTTTACGTCACTCTCAAAACACCACACTACGCGCCAGAAACAACGATATGTCACAAACTGTTGCCATATTTATTTAAAAACCTTTAGAATTCAAACCTACAAAATCCCTGAATTCCGACATTGTGTGTGACTCGACATATTGTGAGACTAATTCCGGCAGCGCTTCAAACTCTATTAAAAGGTAATTCCGGCACCCTGTGTTGGAATTCCGGTGCCCTGTGTGAGCTGTATCAGAATGCGACACAGCTAGGAACAAGCTTAATTAAAAAATTTTAATTTTTGAATTGAGCTTTTAATTAAAAGTTATTCACCTTTTCAATAGGAAAATTTTAATTTTTGGACACAGCAATAAGCTTAATTAAAAAATTTTAATTTTTTAATAAAGCTCTTAATTAAAAGCTATTAAGCTTTTAATTAAGAAAATTTTAATTTTTGGACACAGCTCAGAACAAGCTGTGTGTGTCCAATTCAAGTTGTGTCGGAATTAGTTTTTATGTCTAAAACCGTCGCTTAACTTAATCATCTATTAATTTATTTACCACTTGAAATCAGCAAATACAAGTATACTTAAAGGATTCCTAATATATTCACAGACTTATTCAAAAGTCTCAAACCATAATATTCTTTCTACACAAACAGTTTATCACTATTTGGTAGAGCAAGGTCAACTATCAACTTTGACACGTTTTTTGATGTTCTCACTGGGTGACGTGCACATTCTCTCTTTGGATCTTAACATTTTCCCGCCAGATGGCCCAGACCTAGTGTTGGCAATACTATGGCGCGCAATAATATGACGTCACTATTTTAACCATCAACAAATGCGTGGAACCAGTTATATCCAGGGCAACCTAGGTGAACATGCTTTATTGCACGTATTTCTACAAAGCTTAAAGTTGAGAAGTGTTGGAATTACCCACGATGTTGGAATATACCGCGTTTACCCTAACCACAGCTCGAAAAATCCAGTCGTGGCTTGCCAAGTACTGCAAGTAGATATAGGTATTCCCACACAGCTCACACACACACAGCCACAAAGGGTGTCAGAATTATGAATTACAATTTTGAAGCACTGTCGTAATTAGTCTCACAATATGCCGCATTTAGTCACACACAGTGTCGGAATTCAGCGATTTTGTAGATTTGAATTCTAAAGGTGTTTAAATAAATATGGCAATGGTTTGTGACGTTTCATCATTGCTGGCGCATAGTGTGGTGTTTTGAGAGTGACGTAAACCAATCGGAAATCGAGTTGCGCATACGGTGATCTATTTATAGCCATTTATTTTTTGCTACATCCTTTAGGTGTCAGAATATGGTGTGTTTACCCTATTCCATGCCTGCTAGCATGGTATATATCGGCCATTTGAGCTGCTAATAATGCTTACCTGCCATTTTTGGGACAAAAGATTCAATGAAATAAAATGAAATATTATAAAATTGAAATATATCAATAAAATTTTGCAGTTTTCTAATCTTCAAGTAAAGCAAATCAGGTATATACTCTTTTGAAAATCCACTAACTAGACTTTAAATAACTTGAGTGATATTATAACAGAGCAAGTTATCAGGCTGGAGCAATATTGAATACATAAACCACCATTCCTGGAGTTCAAACATGTAATGGACCAGAAGATCTGAAACTATATCTACCATCCTTTTTTAGCACAAACAATGTATTGGATAGAGCAAATGTGCCAGCCAGATTGTCATATGAACAAATGAACCACCATTTTACTTGCAAAAAATTGTATAATTTTTGTTGAATTTTTCCAAAACTAATTAAGCATACGTACACTATTTTTTGCCAAAACTTTTGTTTGATGTTTTCAAAGTCTGCAGTTAATTTTGTTAACTAACCTGTGCTGTTTAAGCCCTGGCAATACTTTTAGTTTGAATTCTTCGCATCAGAACTCCTCCAGAAAATTGTTTTGCCTCTGTAGTTACAAGGACAAACAAGGAAGCATTGCAGCCTTGTAGATTCAAAACTTTTCACATTGACTTTTATCTGTTTATTCAGATGCAACTTGCTCTAAACTCGGGAGTGTTGCTATATAATTATCACAATTGCTATCCTATTTTGTATTCTTTATCATGAATTTAAATATATTAACATAATTTGAAATCAAATTTTCACACTAATATGCAATAATTTATGTTTATAAATCCAAAATCCTAGAAGATTTTTTTGTAATATAAATTGGGTTCAAGGAAAATGTTCCAGTATCAACTTGTTTCTCAATTCCAAGTAAATTAATTTACTGGAATAGAAATAATGAACAATTTTAGAGTAAATGGTTGCACATACATTTAACTGCCATACCGTACCAGTTATAACTTCAGTATTTTGACAACTTCAGTCTGAACAAATTACATAATAAGGCTGAGTAACATCCACTGTTTAGTGATAACTTCAATCTCTCAGAATTTCGAACTACATATTGTACATATCTCAATGTATTGTAACTCATGCATGGGATTGAAGATGTATATTGTATTGTATATTGTATTGGATTTGGCGCTTCTAAGGGGATTGTTCCTGAGCACCCCACCGCTGAGCTAGTGGTGTCTGACTGCAGGTCTCAGTTGTGGGGTTAAGTTATTATATAGGTAGGATTCCTTGCATCAAGTTATTATGTAGGTAGTATTCCTTACATTTCCCTTCTCTGTCTCTCTTGTGCGGGTGGCCGACGTCCCGTGTACACGACCTCTTGTTCGAGTGTCTTCGTTTCTGTTGCTTTTCGCCTGTCCCTCCTTGTCACTTCGTCTCTTTGAGATGCTAACACTGCTTCTTTCGAGCCAGCTGTAGCGGGCTGGACAACTGAGACATTCCGCCCCATGTGGGTGATGAACGATTTTTTTATTTAAGAAATATTTAAAAATTGAGACCTTCCACCACGTTGATAATGTTCATCTTGACTTTCGGTGTAAGATAGCTAAAAGCTGAAGCGCTTATAAACATGTGGCAACTAAACTAGATAACAAAGTCTCAGTGGAACATGGCTCTTGAGGGATTCGGTCATCTGTTCTACCATTTCCGTTATCATATTCGTTAGTGTGATACATAGAAACATACATTGTAAGAAGAAAATTAAATTAAACTTGTTAATATTTATAAAGCTGAGATATTAATAATCAATTGAAGAGTCTAGACATTTTAAAGAACACCCTGTATAATTTATTTCCTGCCTGTCATTGAGCTCAAGTGTATTTCCATACCATGAATAATTTCCTTCAAGTATCGCCTTTCTGTTCTCACCCTCTTTTTTATAGTTAATATATTTTGCTGTAGTTAGAGACATTATTTCCGCATGATTTGTCTTTACTCTTGCTATGCCTTTCCCCACCATCAGTATATAAATGGAGAAATTATTGAAGATTGAAGCTGCATCTATTTCTGTGTATTATCTATATCAATATTCTTTAATTGTAAGTTTGCTCATCAATTTGCTCCAGATCGTTATTCATCGTAAAAATTTCAAAAATTTCATTCATAAATTCTTGACTTGTTTTAGATATTCTGTCTTATATTAGTCATGTTCCATTCTAAGAGTTCAATTCGTCCTTTTGCAGATCGAAAACGACTGTGGTCAAAGATACGGGGAGCTGCATTAGAACGCATCAGATCTTCTCTCGGTCAGAGGGCTGCCCTCTCCTCGCACCCCTGCAGTGTTTCCCTCACTGCAGGCCTCGTATTTTCTTGTTAGGCACACGTACGCTCATCGACAGACAACATGGATAGCGCTCACATGTACTCCTATGAGGAGTGCTTAAAGAACTTCGGTGTTAGACCTGAAACTGGTCTTACTGATTCTCAGGTCAAAGATAATCAAGCCAGATATGGTCCTAATGGTGAGTGTTCATAGTGCATTGTTAATAATCAAGCCAGATATGGTCCTAATGGTGAGTGTTCATAGTGCATTGTTAAGGTCAGTAATTAGCGAATTTTTCTGTATGTGTTCTTGTGTGATGATTTGAGCATCCATGCAATCGATTAGTCTAGCGTTTTAATGAATATTATAATGAGATTGTTATTTATACGTCACGACATATATCAAAATACGGCTATTATCGAGCGTCCAAATATGTTTTCCTGAATTTCATCATAGTTGATTTCTTTACTTCTAATTCGTCCACAAACACTTCATTTGCAATAATTGAATATATGATTTTCGGTACAGCGGCCTAAACGTTATCATGAAAGGTTAAGTCGGAGTTGAACTCAGGTTCATTACGTCATTGAAAGTATTATCTCTGGCGATATTATGTTATTATATATTTAATTGATCGCCAATGCCATGAATGAATTGTTCGCAGAGTGCAGGGACATGCTCAGAACGTGTCAATGTTAGTAATTTATTATGTAATATGCTCATACTTTATTGTCAGGCATATTACTTAACGTTTATTTTTTGAATAATTATTAATTGTTGATTATACAAAATTTTCTTGTTCATTTTGCCATAATCACAAAAACATAATATTTTCATCCTTTGTATCAGGGCATTCTAAAATATCTTATGAGAATTTAATAATACCTTGTCGCCAATATGCATTTCATATAAAACACTAGAGACTGAAGGAATGCTGTGACACGACCTCATATCCTCGTACGCAATTAAATTTTTTGATACCATTGCATATGCAATCTATAAATTGAACGTTTTCCGTAATATTCTGGCAATTAAGCCTACGTAAAGCTTACCTGTCAACAACCTGTCGCTTTCATTCAAGTCAAAGTTCATACTACGTATGCCAGTGCCTCGAGGCTAGTTCACGTGTAACAAAATTCCTATAAAATGTTTGAACACATTGAATGTTGTCGGTGTTCTGAAGCTAGAAATATCTTCGTAATACATGTATTCGAATTTTTTTTTGTATCAAAAGTAGTCTTCAAAGCAATGCGTATTACTGTGATTGAAACGGTGATTATTGATAACATTGATTATAGTCATAACATTGTTCCTCGTGCACTATGGGAGAGCATCCGTATAATCTACTCTAAATAATTTTGCGTCGTAATTTAACGTCACCAAAGCCAATAAATTTGTTGGTTTTGAATGGCGTTCTGCCTCTGTAGCTTATAATGCTGGTCTCTTCAAGCTCTTCTTCGTTCCCTCTGCTGAGTTACTTACATTATCCGCAAGCTGAAGTAATTCTTAGGCATCTACGCAAGTATCAATATTAAACAATTCTGCATAGTAGTGATACAACTTCGGTTCGATATTTTCCCCCTACGACTCAGTGAAAGAACTCATTTGATTAAAATTTTGCTTTAGTCAGTGATCCCAGTGTTAACTCAAGGAAAAAGACCAAGCTACAAATTGTTTCTCTACGGTTTACTTTTTTACTCTTCCCAACTTTTCACTCACCTAATAACGTGTATTTTTATCGCGTTTTCAGTGGAGTGTATTGCTACTACTGTTACTTGAACGTTACTGGTACTTAACATTACTGGTACTTAACATTACTGGTACTTAACATTACTGTTACTTAACATTACTGGTACTTAACATTACTGGTACTTAACACTCATGGGCTCTCAAGTCCTAGAAAATTAGTTTACTTGATTTATCTACATTTAATATCATCATTAATACTATTAATCTATTTGCTAATATAATTATAGCTAAATTGGTATTTTATACATCTGGAACTCAATAACAATGGATGCCAAGTTTGATAAGTTATGTTATCTTGGAAAAGTTATCGAAATATCCCAGTTGAAATTCATTGTGACGATCATTCATTTCATGCGAGAGATTTGGTGCCCTCTTAATGAATGATTTGATACTCCCTCTCACAGCATGCTTGTAATATTTTGTATTGTTTTAAAAGAAACTATATGAACCACGTTTAACACGCATTAATCGATTTGAAAAGTAATAATGCTCATTTGAACTCTACGCAGGTTTGAGCCTGTTGCAGTTCGCTCGAAATACGGATGTATGCGCTTATGAGGCTTTCTCAATGTGAATTTGGAAGTAATATGCAAGCTTACAAGCATCAAAATCTTATTATTGTATACATTGTGTTTGTAAAGCTTACAACTAAGCATACTCAACGTTATCAATGAAGAACTGTTTTATTGGGATACTTTCTTTTAAATTTCGCGGTCGAACATCGTGCCGGATTTGAATAACCAATCACCATCCTCCACATTTGTGTTCCACTAGAGGCTTTCAAGTTCTAACCTGAATGTTTCCATTATACTTGTCAAATATAAGCAAGTTTCATTCACAATAAAATGTAACTGATTATTTAAAATCAAGAGTACACACATAAACGATGTAAATTTATACTGATGTTCATCAATTATTATTAATTTTGATTGTCTGCTGATCAATAGATGATCATTAAAGGTTGCATTATTAGGAATTCAGGATTAGGTTTTGAATCAAACCATGTTTTGATATATTCTCAACATTCTACTTTTGACCTTGTAAACTTTGTTAAGAAAAAATCAATCATTATTTTAGCTCGAGAGGTAACTCTTCCTAATCGAAGTAGTCAAGTAGCCTAATTTTAGTGTTGTTATTTATGAAATTGTACGGAATTTATCCCAAATTTAGCTGAAAGTAATCTTTTTCATTGGTAATATATTTTTCTTCAAATCGACATATTGATATTATCTATGTTAGTGATAAATAAACACTAAAAATCTAATTCATATAAGCAAGAATTATATATCCAAAAGATATCCAAAAATGAATTGAGTTTTATATACAAATATAATAATCGGGTTGGATACAGCTGATGAAATTATTGCTATAGTTTTGGCTGTTCTTATTTCGGTTACTGGAATCGTGGCTTAGTACAGTTCGTGCTCTAGTATGTGCATGACGTTGACGTTGGTGTGTAATTGTTAGAAGGGAGATTGGTATTTAACTGTACGGTCTGTTGCTGCTGGTTCAATCATTACTATAAAAAATAAATAACGAAGAACTGGAATGTAAAATTGATCTAGAGTAATTGTTTCATTATGCCAAAGTTCAACGATCTGGATAACACGTTAGCCGCTGGTTCTCGAATAATCCGCTGAAATTATTACTGAACTCTGAAGCACTTCGTCTCTCAAGTTCTTTTCACACCAATGTGAGTTAACTTAATTGAAAGTTTACCAGAATTTTTGTGCTAGGCCTATGTAAAAATTGTGCTGTAAAAATTGCAAATAAAATTATGTAATAAAAACACTAGGTAGCCTAGGTATTTTAATTTTGACTGCTATTTCAGTATTTAGCTTTTAGGTACCTTAGTACCTAGGTATTTGACCTGTGTCCTGTAATTTAAATTCAAATAGCCTATTGTCAAATGAACTTGTCCAATGTTTAATATTAATCTGCTGCATCTTAAGAACAACATATTGAATTGAAGTGTAAAGAGTTTTTTTTTGTTTACTAAAATATACTTTTTGCTAAGAGCCTAAGACTATTAGGTATTCTCATGTTTTACTTTTAGTACGTCTTTTAGCTAAATTATTGTTCAGAGAGATTCTGACATTGCTCATCATGCTATGCTATTTTACTTCTACTGTGCCAATTTGGAATTGTGGAATATTATTCAAAAGTTTTCTAAAATTGCAGGTGAAAGAATAGTTTCAGAAATTATTTTCAAAAATTGCTGGTAAAAATAGCTAGGGGGTTTTAGTTCCTTACCATCGAGGCATCAACCCACACACTGTGCACTGTGCAGAGAGTGGATGAATATTGCAAGATCTTTGGCAACGCTCCAGTAGCAAAATTTACGCCTTCAGAAGATCTTGCTGACACATTTAGGTAGATTGAAATTCTTGCATTTAATATATTTGTCAGTCTTTGGCCAAGTTGCCAACTATTTAGAAAAAAGTAAGGTTTCTGGTATGTTGGAACAGTTGCATGGATCAGGATGCAGTGAAGCTTGTCCAAAAATCAGTTGCAATGAGTTCTTGCCAAAAAAAATTTAAACAACAAGTTTACAATTGCGTAGTTGCGGTCACATTAGAGCGGTCAGACTGCATTATCACATGTTCAGTAATGGCTCAAAGAAATGGAATCATGGCTCAAAGAAATGGAATCATGGCTGGCAAATCCTTAAAACCATGGCTCAAAAAATCCAGTCACAGCTTGTCAAGTAGATATATATCATGCCTGCCCCAATTGACAGTATTTTTTTACTGAGGAAATGAAAAAGGCCATTGGTCATATGAATGAAAGTTTTCAGAAATTTTTGTCTTGTTCATGCTGGCATGGAATATATCTACTTGGCAAGCTGCGACTAGATTTTTTGAGTCACGGCTTCATGGGTTTGCCAGCCATGATTCCATTTCTTTGAGCTGTGAATTCCATATCTCGGTCGTGAAAAGCCATTTATGACCCCCGAACTTGTTCTTCACAAAGTCCCATCACTCCCATGCATACGAAGACCCACAGCTGGGCAGCGCTACTTGGAAATGTAGCAACGCTACTGCTACCGCTACATGCTCGAAATGTAGCGGGCGCTACCGCTACACCCACTAGATTGTAACGGGCGCTACCACTACAGTAAAATGTAGCGCACTACATTAGCTGCTACAATGGCCAAAATTTTTGGAAATCTCTAAATATTTATTGTTCTACTATTGGGATTTACTCATTAACATTTAATGATAATAAAACATTTTTAAAACATATCGATGCAACTTTACTGCAATTAACCTAACCAAACTAATATGGGTTACCCCAGGGTTAGATACAGTAAAAAAAAAGTTACAGTTATTTTTATGTTTCACCTTCCCTACATGGATGTGAACTTTAATCTACCAATCTAAGAAATTATCCACATATACATATAAAAATCAGTCTTTTATTTGTATATATATGTGGAAATTTTTGAGA